TAACTAAAAAGTTAACTTCGCTAACGCTAAACAGCTAAAAAAATTAGCGGAAGCTAATGCTAACCGCTAACTTTTATTATATGAATTCAGCTTCGTTTTTTTTTCTCTTTCCTAAAACCCTAAAAAACAGACCTAGAGAGCTGAAATTTTCTTATGTTGTCTTGTAGCTTAGACATAGAGCTTTCCAAAAAGGTATAGCATGCCAAGATCGATCAAGGTGTACACATAATTAAATGAACAAATGAAATTAAACATTAGTTTACATTCAAGTTTCAAAATACACTTTATAATCTTTATTTACTGTACGAAAAGACAGAAAGTATTAAACGAATCCAAAACTATAGTACTGTATAACATAAGTAGCAAATTGCACCATGCCAAGATCAGATGATATCAACTTATCAAGGTGTACACAATTTCACAAATAATTAATTTGCATTCTCATACTACCTATCGGCCTTATTCATTATTCATGTAAATATGCAATACCAACCACATACATTTGTATATAACTTATTGTTGGTCTTAGTCATTATACCAGTGCATTTTAATATAACTTATTATTGGTCTTAGTCATGTAAATAAACAGAAAACTCTAAACTTTAATGAAAAGTAAATTTTTAGAAAATTTTGTTTGGCGCACACCTTGGATGACATCCTGGTTATGAACTTATGCAGTACTTAGCATAACCAAATATATTGACACAAAAATCCTTATTAAATTCACTAATAAATGAGAAATGAAATTATACATTAGTTTACAATTACATTCTATGATTCTTTTAACATACACTGACAGTCTTTATTTACTGTAAAAAAAAGTATTGAACTTTAATAATCAAAAAATTCCATTCACATTACACGTACTAACACGCAGTTAGCCAAGTGTGCCTGACTGGCTGTTGGAGACACGCATCGCAGCGTCACACGCTTACAATAGACAGGAACAAACATGTATAAATTTTTTTAGCGGAACTAAATTTAGCGGAAGCTAATTTGTCCGCTAATGGTTTCCAAAGTTAGCGAAAACGCTAATCGCTAACGAGAACGTTAGCTTCGCTAATTAGCGGAACCGTGCCCACCACTGTTTAGATTATAATTTGTTTATATAAACACTAATGTTGAGTTAATTCATTACAGCTGCGCGTGGTCGAGGAAGAGGTGGCAGAGGTGGAAGAGGCTGGGGTCCTGGTGGCCCCATGAGAAGGTAGATTACCTGCCTCTGTAACCTAACCCAAGTCATGTGCTCTCATTGAATACAGTACTCATTTGGTACTACTCATGATTTATGTTATATGTGACATAAAGACCAAATATTGTAGAAAAAAGTTTCTCGTACCATGTTTGCTTTATAAAAATTTTGTATTCGGGCAATTTTTTCAGATCTAAGGAAGTGGGGTTTTTTTCACAAATATGCTCTGTCTTGAGTGAGGTTTTAATCAAGGAAATTTACCCTATTATAATCCAGGTGATGATAGTAGTTTGTCATTTCCTCTGCAGTTAGCTTTTAAGTCCTCTGAACTGCTGATTATCCCATATACAGAAGGGGATTGTTATCCCAAGTTGGGGAGAGATTCTAAAAATGACCTTGATAATTTGTCCATTGCTGGTTCTTTTTTGTGAGAACAATTGTAGTAAAAATTTGGAATTTTCAGTCCATGAAGATGGTTTTACTTGTTAATGAAGTGCAATGTTTTGCAGTGGATGAAAATATTTTCGGATTTATTTAGGAATTTATGTAATGTCCAGGTTTATACAGAAAAGGTAAAAGAAAAAGTTTTCTTTCACGTGAAACTCTGTACCCAAATAAATTTTCTTTATTAAGCCTTGATGTTTCCCCTATCATTCTTTAGTTGACTTGAAGGAATTTAATAAATAAGTTTGTACTTCTTCCTTATGACGATAATGCGAAAAGCAATTTGAAAAGTTATACTCTTAGATAATCAACTTGTATGTCCATTATGTAATTATGTACTGCTTTCTTTGTTGTACAGTAGACCTCAAGAATAAAATGGGTATTAGCCGTCTGGTACTCCTGGCTATGGTTGGGAATCTCAAGCTCCTTACAGTCCTTCGACGCAAGTAGTGTCATACATTATATATAAAGTCATGCGCCGGTTAACGTCCGATCGCATATACGTCCGTGCCCCCCCCCTCCCCCCAAAACCAAAAAAAAAAAACACGTGACACCTGCTGGACCACTACTCCACGACCCCCTGATGGAGACATGATGATCCTCCCCATACTGGTCAGATATTATGTGTTAAAGGAATATGCTTCCTTACTTAGGCTTTTCTAAGCATTTGCCTACAGGTGAAATGTTAACCTACATCTATTGAGGATAAAATCTTTCACCTACAAATTGATAATAACACATTTGCTGTAATCAGACATATCTAGTTGCCTCAACAATTGCAAGTTGCAATTTCAAATTCTGTGGCATTACTAAAAATAGTAAAGTTTCTGGTGCACTCTTAAGATTAAGAAAGAAACGGAGGACTCAGGCGTCCTCGTGAGAGAAAACGGACGCGTATGATGGGGGACCAAATAAAAAAAGCATAGCTACATGTTTTGTGGACTACAGTATTATGGTACAGGGGTACCAAGTGACAGCACTAGGATCCCACTACCTCTATCAAGGAATAAACAATTAAAATTTAAATTGAAAAAAAACATTCAAATAAATTACTATCTTACAAGAATCCCTCCAATGTAAGTTATATCCACCCAGGTCGTTTGGGTGGAAAATTATGGGAAGAGCTTAGTCACTCTTAAGTAATGATAAATAAAAACGCAGGCAGGCCTTCAGCGCCAACTGTCAAATCTTATCTCAAATAAATAAACAAACAAACGCCAGACATTCTGTCACCTCACCTCACCTCCCCCCCCCCTTCCCACCACCCTCGTGTTCCCAGACAAAAGATTGGTGATTTCTTTGTTTATTTTATATAATATCTCATAGAATTTCTTCACATTGGGAACGAAACAGTCATCAAACCAGGACAGGGACAGAGTAGAGAACATCCACGCCTTACGTGCGGTCAGCCAGTGGACATTTAGCTTGGTCGTGTCCATGCTCTTGTAGGCTTGCGTGCTGCGTGGATCACCGATAACTTGAGCCTACAGGTACCGGACGCATTGGTGGTAAACAGGACGGTGATGCGCTCCTTCTGCAACTTCCGGCCCCGACACTTGCTGGCATTCTTCACAACGAAGGTCTTGGAAGGTAGCTTTTTCCAAAAGAGACCAGATTCGTCCATGTTAAACACCTGGTCGTCGGTGTACTGTCCTTCCTCCATAATCTCACATAAAAACGGAGGAAATTCCCTAGCCACAACACGGTCAGCACTAGCTTCTTCACCACCAATGTTGATATTGGTGATCTTGTTCCTCTTCTTAAACCTCTGTAACCACCCAGAGGAAGCATTAAAGGGTTTGGGCTCTGTAATTCCCATCTTTCGTGACACTGCAGCATACAGTTCACGTGCGTACTCCTTAACTGAGCGCGTGTCCACCGCCATGTTCCATCGCGCCTGACGCACCAAGTAGCTCACAAGTAATTTTTCCGTCTTAAGAAGCATCTGGTTGTGGAAATACTTGATCATACTGTAGAAGCACCTGTAAACTTTGTGATGTTCATGTGCTCCTTTATCTTGGCTGCATCCTTCTTAATTGTCCTGATAGTTGATTCGTTAACACCATGCTGGCGCGCGAGATCAACCCTGTCTTGTTCCTTTCTCCAACTCTTATGTGATCTTATATTTTATTTCGTAGCTTAAGGAACGTCCTGTCTTCTTTGGCTTAGGGCGGCTGGGTCCAGGTAATGCAAGGTTTCTTTGTGGTGGTGGTCCGGTGGAAGCCATTCTTATGGAACAATGGATACCGATATACACGGTGTAGCCGGGAGGGGTGTAACTGACTCGGTAGGCCAAGGGGCTTGAACGCTCCTGTGGTGGGGCACGTCATAGCACTACATTAAACCAATCACAGCTAGCAGGGAAGGAGGTAAGGATGCTTTGCTCAATCACAGTCCGCTACGTCATATGACGTCACCGATAACGCAACAAAGACATACACTGTGCAACCTACTCGCGCCACTTACATAACATGGCGGATGGCAGGAGAGATGGCGGGAGGTTTGGATCCAAAAATGGCGCGGAGCAAGAGGTCCGCCAGCCTCTCTCCGCGTAAAGGGGTACACGCACCGCGGAAAGTGAGCATTCCGTGTTCGGCAGGGTAACGCGTAAAGTGGGACCGCGTAAAGCGAGGGTTGACTGTGTATGTATGTATATATATATATATATATATATATATATATATATATATATATATATATATATATATATATATATATATATATATATATATATATATATATATATATATATATATATATATATATATATAACAAAAGTTTGATAACAATAATTATGATCCACAGGTGGATGAGAGGAAGACACACAAATGGAAGAGTTTGGCAAATAACCTACATTTTATGGTGTCAAGTGATTTATAAGGATGGATGTGATAGCTGCAGGTTTATATGAAATGAAAGGGACAAATGACTCTTGGGGCATTGTCGTGAAAGAGGAGCACTTCACTGGGTATGTTAATCAAAGCAGTTACAAGAATGAAGGGAGAGAGTATAATTTTCAATGTCTGGCCACCCATTACTACAAGCAGAAAAGAGCTTCAAAGAATTTATTTATTTATTTTTTATTCACATGTTAAAACCAACACAGAAAAATGCATCAGGCATAATTCCTCATTTTCTTTCTTTTTTTCTCTTTTTTTGGAGACATGCCTTGTGAATGCAATAAATCCTTGTTGTAAATTTAGTTTTAACAGAAATATACATGAATTCTAGAGAAAATTTGAAATTAGTTGTATTTGAGCATCCTTAAGGGTGACTAAAATACTGTACATGTACTTTAGATACAAAACACCTTTATACCTGTTTTATATAGAATTTTGGCAATTGGTAAATAATTTGTCCAACATGAGCAAAAACATCATTTTAATATGGTACTTTCTTTCTGAACACACCAGGAAAGGACAAAGGAAATTTCTTGTACGTACTGTATAGGGCAGCATACTACCAGTGCATGCTTTACATCTTTATAATGGAACATTAATTTTGAGAATCACATAACATTTTTATACAAATAAAAGATACAGGACACAAATTATATGTACATTTGCTGTCTTTAAAATTCTTGCATCCCAATAACTTGACTATACTGGTATATACATATTTAGTAAAAACTATTTATTGTTAACTTTGCCAATAAAAAAATAATTTTTTAGATTTCCTTAATACAGTACTGCAACAAGATCGAGCAGAAATGTCTTAATGAACTGTTAAGTGTACATACAGTATACATCCCCCTTTGTTAGTATGACTGATATGTTTTCTTAAGTAATAAGGTAGGACATGTAAGCTTTTTTTTTATACATTACACATAGAAATGTCTGTTGCAGGACTGACATACACACACACACCACACAAGTCTGGTTGGAATACCTTCCAACTAAAATTACTTGATCAGTACAGTAATTAGAAAATTATTCCCCCAAATAATCATGAGAAAAAAATTACAGTATCTGAATTACTTCACTGTTAAGTTTAATATACGTACAGGTATTGTGGTGTAGAACTATGTGTATACCTATCATGAACTAAATAATTACACCTGCATGACAATAAAATTTTACATTTCAAATAATAGTTGAGCAGGGATAATTATTTACATATTAAACCCTTGTGTATGGGCTCCCCTCTGAACTGAATAAAATCATCTGGCGTTAGCCAAATACAGTAAAATATTTAAAGTGGCGTTCCCGTAGTGAATGGATTAAAACATGGTTTAAAAATCTATCAATCTCCTATGTACAAAGTTCCTTGCAATCTAAAGGTTTCATTAGATGTAATTAACTTTAAATATGAGTCTTAAACAAATTAAGAAGATTCAGCATATGAAATTTACTGTAACTCATGTTGTAAACAGTAGGAATGGTACCAGTCAGGTCTGGTGGTATCCTTTATGGACTGAAAGAAATTTGTAGTTTATGTTTGGATTGACATTATTGTAATACTGTACTGTTCTTGTATACTGTTCATATGTTTATCACAAAACTTTGAACCATAATTATGAAACTTAGAATGTTGCACAATCTCTTGAGAAGCCATTTAAGTTTTTGTTTTCAAGTGTGTTGGCTCTGACATATGAGGGTATTCATTAGATTGTAAGTTCAAGTTACAGTAAGGTACAGCTGATTGAGAATTCAGTTTAATGAACGTACTGTTTTAGGGTATGAAAATTCAATGTGCAAGCTTGTACATACATACAGTCTGGCTAGTCATGCTTTGTCATTGGCTGAGCAGCCAGCCAAGCAAGTGCACTCATAGAAGAGTTTTCTATACTCTGAGGTGAAGTCAGTGGCTGGCTATCCAGTGAGCCTAGACAACTCGGCAGCATCTACTTATCATCTTGTTCTTTGTCTCATGGAACATGCACTGCCTTTGTTAGCTCATTTCTTGTTATTTTTACCATCAAACCCAACAGTGATAAGTCCAAAGAAGACAGCTAGCACTACAAGCAGTGCCACTCACAGGATGAAGAGGAAGACCATCACCATGGAGACAAAACTGGATGTACTATGGTGACTGGACTGATGAAAAAAGTATGTGATATCTGGAGAGCTTTGGGGTTAGTATTGTCGACATTGCACAATCAACAACTACCCAGTAGTTGATTCCTAAGATGGAGAGACAGGAAGTAGCCTCTGTCCCCTACTAATTTCCTTCAACCAACAATGCTTGGTCAACAAAAGCAGCATTCATCTTCAGTTCTAGTAAGTACTCCTGTTTAATCTTTGTTAAGTTCAGTTTCAGGTTCAAAATTTTTTGGGCTGGAGCACATCAAAGTTCATACCATGGGGTTTAGGGTCAAAAAGTTTTGGTTTGGAACATATCACGGTTTTTAACATGGGACCTGTGGAAATATGGGTCTTATTGAACACAAATTCACCAAACAAGCACTTTCAGAAATGCATGAGTCATTTAGCAGGTCCTTAATGTACATGAAGCCTCTCTAACGCATTTTACAGCTGCCTCAATTAAGTATTACAGTTTATTTTTTTTATCTTCCCAGTTATGTGAGCCCACACGATTATCTGTTGATCTAAATAAACATTGTTTTAAGTGAAAACTTACACTTTTTGTAAGGGGTGCTGAGGGTCACAAAAAACGTCTTATAGTTCTGAGGAGAGATACCTTTGCTACCCTCACACCTGGGTCATCTCCCCAGCTGTTGTGGAATGAAGATGGTTCCCTGAAGGCAGTGTGGTCTCCAGTGTATTGGTGGAAACTGCAGCTCCCAGAGTGTCTGTAGAGGAGTTGGAAGTGTTGTGGAGGGTGGAGGTAGAGAGGGCAAGATTATCATAGACATGTGGGGGCATATCATTGCTTTCATCAGGGCAAGTGGACTCTGATGGATGGCGAATGCGGTAGGATGGAGGCTGAAACTCATGTGACCCCACAGTGTCCTCAGTGGGGCCTTTCACTGACTGGCTCACTGACACCCGCTTAGATATTGGGCTGTGCTTATTCTGAAAAAAAAGTCAATGCATAAGTAGGATTCAGATAAAAGGCAGTTGTAAAATCCCTTCCACTCAATGGGTTAAAACTTATCTTGACTAATCCTGTCATGTTAACTTAACATCTCACCTGTCAAGTTTCATGGAATTTGATCAAGGTGGTTTATGAGGTACAGTACATGCCTAGTATTTTGTTTACACACAAACTGAAAAAACAAATCTGAGAAAAGGTAAACTTATAAAAACTGGTCCAAACTTACATGATACCTCCACATATTTTTTCATCACTTCATAGATACACAACTCATGGCAACAATCTTTAGTTTATTGTATGGTAATGTATTGGTAATCAACTTACTAACTGAATAAGCTGTTAAGATATGAAATAATTTAAGATACTGTACAGTATTGTGATTTTATCCAATAAGAATTGTCTGGTGTGATATTTTCCATCTGGGGTTTGTCTGGTGAGACTTCTTTGTACACTGTCAACAACAAATCCATTGAAATACCTGATAATTGGCAATCCTAACCACAGTCGAGTTGGAGTCAACTCCATTGCAAGGTTTGTGTGGTGCTGTCTCCTGGATGTTGCCCTTTTTGTTATTGCTGAAGAAGATGGGCAGACTAAGCTTAGGAAAGAACTTGAAGATGTGGAAGATGATCACCACTAGTGCCACCAGCAGAAGCAGCACAATCCCCAGCAGTATGCCAGTCATCACCCGCAGCTCCTTAACTGCTTCCTCTAGCACAGCCAGTCCTGAGGTAAGATAATGCTGCTTAGGACAATGACATTTTACAGCCAAGCAAAGTATCAGTGAGCATCTGCTGTGCATTTGATGTGTGTGTGTGTGAAATAAATTGGTGTCATTTATTTATTATTTTATCAATCCACCATTTATGAACTTACTAGCCATTCAGATAGTTGGTCTGTTCTTTGTTGTGACCTTTATCCTGTATTAGTATAAGAGGAAACTGAAGTACCCAGAGAAAACCTGCTATGTTTGGTAGCGTTGCACCTGTTAACATCCTTCTCACATCAGTCCTGAGCCAAGGATTGAACTCAGTACACAAAAGACCCTGTACAGTACAGTATTGTACAATAGCACACATTAACACTTGCATTAAAATTTTATAGCTCACCATTTTACAGATGCACAAAATTATTTCACAACCATAAAAATAAACATTATAAAAGGAACATCGTACTGTATCAAGGGAAATTCAAACAAATAAAGAAAATTTAAAAGTTCATTAAATGTTAATGTTCATTTAAAGTTCATTTTACTTCCATCCGATGCGGTGACCTATGCCCTTCAGAAATTCCTTCAAGGTCTTTCTCTCATTCACATAGTCCAGACATGGGTTCTTCAAACACTTGATGCAAGAGCCTGATCCTTTCTAACACTTTAAATGGCCTTCCAGATGGCTGGGTGGTCATGTCCACTGTGGTTGAAGCAGGAAAGGAATCCTTCTCATGTACAGTATATTGTGGGAAGTACTCCACCAGGAAGCGCTGTTGGCTGGATGCAACAATTTCCCTACTTTTTTTTCTCAATGAAGAAATTTTTTTTATGAGACTAACATAAGCATCTTGTATTACAAAGGAATAAAAAACAGATTAAGGCAACAGCAATTCAAAGTGGTCATGCCTGGTACAAAAAAAATATAACGTTTAAATGGAATTTTTGGGGAGGAATGAGTCAGTGAGGCCGAGAGACCCTCCAGGCCCAGGGTGTGGCACGCGACCCACCGGCCACGGGGGGGAGGGGGGGGTGGAACTTTGGTGTTGTGTGGGAGTTGGACCTCTGCTCTTGGATTTTCTCTCCTGGCTGGTGATAAAAGAATGCATACTTATGGTTGAATCTCTGTAATTTTTATGCACATTTGGGCATATATTTATGTTTCCACTCATCATCCGGTAAAATGTATACTTACATCCAGGTACAAGAAGAATTCAACAGAATCCAGGACCTGAATAGTAGTAACTTTACCTCATCACTGTATTGGGTCGCTCCCACCCCTATACCTCCACTGGAGTTCACTTTTCACTCCTTGTGTGGGGCTCAATTTGGGGATTATTTTCATGCAGTGCAAAGGCACCATCATAAAATCACACAGGTTCCATGTGAATGACTTAACCGGGTGGAGGAGCAACACCAGGCGCTGTGATTGCTCATATTGGTGCATATGTTAGTATCGACCACACCCCCACCTGGGTAATAACGCTTGCTCGGTAAAAATTTCCGAGTTACGAAATAAATACTTGACTCAACAATAACAAGTAAAATGACGATATTCCTGTGCAGCTAAGAGGTGTTTATCCAGTCACTGCCTTCTTGGGGCAATAGAGGTTAATGCGTGCATGAAGTCATGGAGTGTTAAAATTAAATTAAATAGAAAAATATCCTAAATCTACCTCATGTTTCATTTACATCAAAATAAACACAAAATTTAAGTCGATTCTTGTCCAATAATGGTAGTTATTTGACTGAATAAAAAAAAAGAGCAAATGAACAGCTGTGATCATAACATATATCGTTTAAATGCTTCTTTGCCAGCTGAGGAAACTAAAATCTTAAACATCCACGAAGAACGCAAATTAAAAGGAAATACAGAATACCTGTACCGACGTAAAGGCCCCCATAGACGGTCAGTCGTGATTGCGCAATCATGTTGATTGTGCATTCATGACACCGTCTATGGGGGCCTTTAGGAGCATCATAATTATAATGGCTGGTACAATACTCTGGTAGATGGGGTGATTTGGTGGTGAACGGAAAAAAAAGTCGCATGACTTGTACACATTGACAACACAATATATACTGTATACAGTATATGGCGGCATTACACATAGGATAGGTTAAGTTAGGTTAGGTTTTTTCTGACTTTCCTGGATTCAATTTGGTGGGAATTGGGGAGTAGGAGATACAGTTATGAACAAAAAGAATTTAGCAGGGAGATGGTGTAGGGGAAGGTGGAGACTTGGCACCAACCATCTCATGAGGTGGCGATTAAAAATGAGATTTTCATTCTACGCCATATATTTTCCTTAGTTTAATTATGAGGCAGCCGCAGCGTTCACTTTTGAAAAAAAAACGGTAATCCTGGAGCAGACGGCCAACACCAGTTGTTCGATTTTGTTCATTTCCCACATGTTCTTTGGGTGATAGTTGATAAGTAATAAAAACGTTACAATTTTTTTTTTTAGTTCAGTTTTCTCTATCAATCATAAATAATTGTGGGCAGAGTATGAAGGATGAGGGAAATTGCAGGGTAAAACATGGTGAAAACTGATCATATGACACTAAAATTATATCTCTACGTTCCTTGTGTGTAAAGCAATGAATTATTTACAGAAAATATTCCCTGCATGGCCATGAACAGTGACATCACCCACATGAATCTGACCTATATATACTGTTAATGAATATGATGTATTTCTTTGTATGAACCTCTGTCCTGCGTGGCAGTGAGAAGTGATACCACCCTTAGTGTCAAGACCTGACTGAATTACTCAGAAAAGGCAAACTGTACTCCAAGCTTTGTCAATAATTTTGTTAAACTAAAAACTTCAAAAAATCCATCTGCTGTTTCCACGCAACAACCAACCCGCTCTGTCCGAACATACCCTTGTAGGGGAGAGTATCCACTACAAGTATTGTAGTGGATACTCTCCTACATGCCGCTTCAAGAAAGTTGCTTATATTATTGGTACCAGGTATCAAAGTAAGTACTTTCTCTTTCAGTATGGCGGGGGTCTGGGCGACTTGGAAGTTAGGTAAGCTTAGATAAGTTTCTTCGGTTTGTTAAGTCAGGTTCTGTGCATTGTCGTATCGTTTTTACCATCATCCAAAGAACACCAGTGAAAAAAGGAACGAAAGTGAACAACGCATTCTGGTGTTAGCCATCAGTTTCAGGATTACAATTTTTTTTTACTCATTATTAAATTCCCATTTTATGTAACTTTACTTCCTCGTTGGAGAAAAAATTAAATGTTGGAATTATTGGTGCGACAAATCGAACGTAATATAACAACTAAATATAACATAGTCACATAACCTAATAAAACCTAACCCAAATATTTTGGGGAAGGTTTAGGTTAGGTCGGGTTCTTTGTTTAATTTGTATGTACTATAGAAAGTGCATGATACAGCCGCCGCCATGACGGAAATTGACAGCGATGCCCATCATAATACCCAAAGTAATTCAAATTGTGTACATGATCCAATTTTCATTGAAACTGCACAGGGGAGGACAAGATAAAGTAAACGACATTGATTTGCAGCCACGTCGGATAAGGAATTGAAACTATTATTTATCCAATTTATAAAATCTAAATGACAATACTGATCATTAAATGAAATGATTACCATTATCTATTGGAAGTCAACCTAAACTTGGATATGGAGTTTTATTTAGGGAAAAACAATAATGTGAAAAGTAAAAGTAAAAAAATACCATTTGACGGCAGCAGCGGTAACGCAGGTGCCAGGCGCATGACTCATCGTCGCCGTGTCGGTACACTTCTCTCACTTGCCTCACAAATAAACCTCCTACATTCTGAACACGTCTAGTGTGGCTGAGTCCACATAAACCAAGATATATATATATATATATATATATAATATATATATATATATATATATATATATATATATATATATATATATATATATATATATATATATATATATATATATATATATATATATATATATATATATATATATATATATATATATATATATATATCGGAAATGCATGCGTCTTTTTTAACAAATCAAAAGGGAATAAATATATTGTACATAATTATGCTCAACGATTGCCAAGTTATCAGAAAGATTTATATAAAATTAAGACAGTAAACATTGTTAACAAGGAAAATAAAATATTACAGTAGTACTGCATCTGCGATGTCCTTCAAATTCGTTATACAGAATTTATTCGTTTAACTTGCTGTCAAAAGTGAGCTTCTTTTACAACCGTTTTAGGATCACTCAGTGTGTGATTTTGTAGTAAGTCTCCAAAAATAATAGCGTTGTACTGGCCTCGTGTATTATGCTGTGTTGTTTGACATCTACAGTACGCGTGGCGGGGTTTCGTCATCGTCTTCATGGCCGCTAACAGTTGCCGTAAATGTGCTGTATATAATTATGAGGACAGGATGGCTCTCAGCATGACGGTTTTGCAAATTTACCAACAGCTGTATCAACTTCCTTTTTAGTGGCAGTTTAACATGAATTGTTGATGTTGATTTACAGTATAGCAACGTATTTAATAGGTTCTTGGACTTGCAGTCTCATGATGTGTTTACAGTCCTTGGAAGTGTGTACAGTATGTCCAGCATTTTCCAAAAAAAAAAAAAAAAAAAAAAAAAAAATAAATAAATGTGACTACCCTCCCAGTTACACAAGGACCTGGGCGGGCTCACTAACTCCAACAATAATAAAAATAATAATAATAAGCAGCATTATATAAATAAACCAATATTAATACAAAGGTCTGACGACCCAAGGGAGCAGAACAAAGACAAAACACCAGTAGGAAAGATGAAGCGATCTGGTTGAGCCCAGATTCTTTCTACTCCTACTGTATTTCAGTTTCACCACTTTTTCCTTCAACCCCTAATAATCTTCTTTCACCTCTTAACTAAAGACTTCGTATCGTACCACATACGACTGTAGTCTTCAAAATGTTCGCTGTGACATTTCCTTTTGATTTAAACAGGAGGAATAGTAAAGAACACCTGTATGGCCG